TCAGAGAATTTGTGATTTTTTTATTACGGAAAGCCAGGATCCCTGGTGATCACCCACCTCACTTCTAAGATACAAGGGAGCTGTTCTGCAGAAAAGGTCACATTTGGCTGGGCAGGAGATGGATTTCTCAACCAGGGCAGGCAAGGTACCAGAGGAGGTATGGGCAGCCTCTGCATGTGGCACACGACCTGTGAGGGATGGGACAGAAGTGAGGCAGGGCACCAAAAGCAGAGGGGTAGATGGGGTAGGGGAAGGGGATGGGAGAGGCACTGGGGGAGGATGAGGGGTTAAGTTGTACCTCATCCCCCAATAGCCTGTGGTACATCTTGATCAGGACTAACGCTCAGAATGACTTTGCCATGTGCGAGGCACATTTCTCTCTTAGTAACAAAACACTGGCCCCTTCACCAGGAGAGCACAAGCCACGCAGGCCTGGGCACAAGGGCGCTGCAGGGACACAGCCACACAATTTCTGGTTGGAGACCAGGCAGTCTGCGAGGCCTGATGGCTGGCAGGGCTTGGTGTGATGCTTCTGGGGGATGTCATGCAGCCATATTGCCTCACACGTGACCCAGTAGCACGTGGGGAGTCCTGGGTGGAGGCTGCCCTGTGGCCAAGCTTGGCAGGGCCATGGCATAGGCAGGTAGGTCCGTGGGCTCCAGGTGCTCCTGTGCAGGAGGATTTCAGGTAGCCCCGGCTTTGCCCCTGCAGCCCTCCCTGGGGCAGCTGGGTGGGATGTGGAGCTTGTCCTTGGGGGCAGCAGGGGGCATCCTGATTGTATGCGGGGCAGGGGCAGTGCGCGTGTGGGGGGCATGTGCGTGCGTGCGTGTCTGTGTCCACGTGTGTCTGTGTGCACATATCCGGGTGCACGTGTATGCGGGTGTTTCTGTGTGCACGTCTGCGTACGTGTGTCCGTGTGCGTCTTTTTTTCTCCTCACGTGCGGGGGGTGGGCGCCCGTCTGTGCGTGTCTGTGAATGTGTGACTGTCCGGGCGCGCGTGTGCATGTATGTGCGTGTGTATGCGTGCGCCTGTCTGCGCCCGTGTCCGTGTTTCTCCTCACACGCCCGGCTTAGGGCGGGGTGTCTGTGTGCGTGGTCGTGTGACGTGGTGGGTACGTCGGTGGGGCCGCGCGCAAGGCGGAAGCGCGCGTGTGCGCGGGGCTGGGTGCTGAGGAAACCCCCGCAGCGCAGCGCGCCTGTCCGCACGGGCGGGTCCCGCCCCCAGCCACTGGACACTCCCCGCTCCCCTCCCTCCGCCGCGCAGCCAATAGGAGGCGGCGGCGGCGGGAGGTGTGTGCCGTGACCTCACTTCCGGGACCTGTCACCCGGCCGCCCAACAGCCCGCCGTGCGCCAGACGCGGGTCGGATCTGCCAACGGGCGCGCTAGGGCCGG